TTAGTGGCTCCAGGACTCTCTAATGGACTTGCCAGCTTTCCTTACACTGCACTACAGATTAGGCTGTCTCCATTGAACTCTGCCTCCCTCTCTCCTCCATTCAGCTCAGACCTGCACCATGCTCTGACCACTCGCTCTGACTTTCCCAGCTCTGGCCTTTTCTTCCTACCCCCTCATTTCCTCTCATACAGTCATGCTGCTAATAAAATCAACACATTTAGCCCATCTTGGCATTTGTTTCTCATAGGACTCGGACTGACGTAATCATTTCCTCACCTTCCATATTTTGCTTGCTTATTATATTTATCTTTTACTGCCTACTAGAATATAAGTTCCAGCAGAGCAAAAATGTTGTTTATCCATGTATCCCAAACACCTACCACAGTGCTATCATAGACCTTCAACAAATATATGCAGGATAAATGGCAATACAGATTAGGCTGTCTCCATCTAACTTTAAATGCTTAAAATATTAGAAGCAATTGGCATTGTCAACTAAATACATGAATAAATACATGATGATGCCAATCAGTTTTCATAACTCTACTCCCTCTTAAATTTCCTGAGCCTCTTATTTTATCTAGTCCTCCCCTTCCCTAGAAAACCCTTGAGCTTACCCATAGCAGAAATAAGATTCGAGAGGTAAATTGTTTTTTAAAAAAAAGTCCAGACTAATAATTGGATGACAGCCCTCTGTTCTGGGCAAGAAACATGCAATTTTAACTGGGATTATTATTTATCACCACTGTTCTCTTGCCTTAAATTCTAGCCAGAATCTGCAGATAAACAAAATCAAAAGTTTTGAATATTTGATTTCTTAAAACTTAAATATCCATCCAATAGTAATCAAATTTGGCTCACACCTAACCAATTCTCCTACTCTCTGGTCTCCCTAATTATCTTTGAAGACATATGATTAAGGACAGACTACTCTCAAATATGATTTCAGATTCTAAACTGGTGGATTTCACCTTGGAATTCTATGGTTGAGGAGCTCCAAATGACAATATGGAGAAATCTTTTTTCATGAGGGCCACTAAGTTTACTCAGAGGAGAGTCCCAGAGTTCTGCCTGAGGGGTTCGCATGCAGCTATAAGAGTTCCGGAAGCTAGATGGAAGAAGAGGCCAGGGGTCCAACTCTTTCTCATAAAAACTGATTTAGCCTTCAACTTGTGCCTCATATTGCCCCGTTTCCTTGCGCAGACTTGAGGAATGGCTATTATAAAGACAGACAGTCCAGGTGCCAGTCCTGACCTTGTGACTTATTACATTTGTGGCAAATTACCTCTCTGAGACTCCGTTTCCTTATTTTTAAAATAGGGCTGATAGCACTTATCTTTCACCTCCTAAGATAAATTGGATGCAAAGCATTTGTCTATAGAAAGTACTCAACAAACATTAGCAATTACTCTTACTGATATCAACAATGCAAAGGAAATTAAACTATTTGTTTAATGTTAAAGTTGTTTTTTTAACCTCTTCAGCTGCATGTTGATATGAAGGTGCTTGATAGAATCAAGCACCTAATAATGACGTAGATGATAATTAGAGTTTACTCTATAAAAATTTAATTAAAGAAATGGTAGGGGAAAGAAAACAAAGTAAATTGTAAAGTTTCTCAGCCTCACTTGGAACTAAGAGTCTCATTGGGCTTGACTTCCTTTTTCTAAAGGGCAAGGGAATATTCACGTAGTGTCAGACTAGATGAGTTACAGAATGTCTCAACACACTTTCAGGGGTTCACTCCTTTCTCTTGCATAACTGATGAGGTCAAAATGGGCATCTTTCTGAAAGCCAGTGTCATATCTAAACAAGGTCCAATTAAGAACTGCATTCCATAGAAATCCAAGACAAGAAATAACAGACGGTGTTACCTGACGTCTGATCCTCACTGAACGCTGCTGATGGGCCAAGTTCTTTACAGTCACATGAACACCTTTGATTTCAAATCCCAAAGTTTGAAACAAACTGCTGAAGTGGGAGCAGGAGGGAGAGGGAAGGACAGCCTGATGTGAATTTACCGCTATATTCAGTTCTAAAGTAACTACAGAATTTTTCATTATTATCTAAAGCCAATCAGAGGAAGAAAGGCAAGCAAGTGACAGCCCAAT